TTTTTCCCATCTTTTTGTTTCTTTCTCGTTCTTTCTCCCCAGTGCCACATTAAATTGTTTGACGCAGAGAGGAGTTAAATTTGCAACGCAATATCGCAAGGAGTTGTAGTTATCTTTTGATATTTGCGTCACATTGCAAATGCTTCAAGCGCAAATTTCCATTTGTGTCGTGAAATCGAAATAAATAAATTTTCGATTGGCAATTTGTTTAACAATTCTTCGAAAATGTTAGGCATAATTGATTATGTGCGAATGTGGTTGGTTTTCTTCTGTGTTGTTACTTTGTCTCTTTTTTCGTTTCTCTCCTTGTGTGTGTGTGTGTGTGTATGTGATTTGCTTCAGTTTATGTGCTTCTACCAAATCCATCGTATTAAGTTTAATTTACCTTATACAGTTTCGTATTAATTTGTTGTTCCTTCGCTCGGTCAAATCCAATAGCAGCACACATAAATCATTTTCTGAATAATTTATATTGCATTGAAATGCCACATATCGTTTTCGACTTGAATAAGCCGAACGCATATATAGCTACTGCAATTTCAAAGCCAAATTTGAATATCCACCAATGGCTTCTGGATTTAGCAATAATATTACCACCTTTAAGTGGCTTTTTTTTATCGTATAGCAACCGACAAATATCGTCTGCCACATGCCATGTGTATTAGTTTCGATTTGGTGCGACTCAGCCAAAAATCTGAATACAACGGACGTATGCTTAAGTGGAATATATGTAAAGGTTTAAAATTGATGCTGTCTCAAACCATTTCAAAACCATGCGTTTTGACACTTTTTCTCTCTCTTTCGTGAGAATTGCACTCGAAAATGATTCACTTAGCATTTGCTACTCCATCGAAAATTAATGGAGCTTCGGCTTCTTGAGTTCGTGATGACACACCGTTCTCTTCTGCCATTTTCTCTGTTCTCTGAAATACTTCAAAGTTTATTCGAAGAAAAAAAAAAACATTTGGATCTGATGATTGATCTTTTCATGATGTTTGCATTAACACATTTGAGAATGATTCAATCGTAGATCTCTCTAGACAAACAGTGAATCGATCAATGAATTGGTCAATTAATTATCATTGAATTATGTGAGAAAAATTGAATAAAGTGTTAAAACGAAAAATTAATTGAAATTATAAAAGTTATTGATTTTAAATGAATGTTCAGAATAATTTAGTACAGAAATATCTCAATTTCAGTTCAAGACAATTGAATGTTTGAAAATTGCTTTGTTGCTAATTGATTATCAAAGGCTATGTTTTAAAATGATTTATACGTCTAGAATGATATCCAATGCTTGAATGTATTAATTATTGGGGAGCCAACGAATTTAAATCATGACTGACTGACAAATTGAGCATGAGATAGCAATAATAATCTGCGAAAGCCGGTGACCATTTGGCTTAATGAATGGCACATATCGTTTACCCAAAAGAATTTCAGTACAACGACATAAAAACCCATTCAATATTTATCAATCTTAATACCAATCTCCGTGACGTTAATATATTAAAAAATAATCAGAAAAATGGCGCCTAAAACATTCGATCGCAGAGCACACAAAAAACAGCACTCAAAAAGCCACGAAATATAAGTGCATGTGTATGCGTCTTTGGTTTTTTTTCCTCTCTTGCAATCGGAACCAAGCGTGCTTGAAATGCAATCGAATTTGATTTTACTTTTGGAATACATAAAACATGAAAATGCAAGTAAAATATAAAGTGAATAATGAATATGAGAAAAAAAATGAAGAGAAAGAAAGAGGGAGAGAGAGAGAGAGAGAAAAAAAACTCAAACTGAAATGAGACGGCGGTCCAGCGGCAGCGATTACGACGGGCGATGCCCATAACAGGTTTTATTTCCAATACTTCATATGAAAAGAAAAGTGTAGATAATGTGATTTTTTTCTTTGTCTCTCGTACATGGTAGTAAAAACCATAATTCATATGCATGCTTTGCATGCATTGGATTGAAGTGCGGTGCGAGTGCGTTACGTGTTGTGTTCGCAATTTGTCATTGTTCGATGCTTATTTTTGAGCGTGCTCACATCGTGTGTGAGTATGGTTGTTTCTTCTTCTTCTTCTCTTGTTCGAATTTTTTCTGCAAGTGTTGAACATCTGTTAAGATCTGAAGAATAAAAGTCTCTCAAATGCTTCGGTAAATTATTGACAAATTGCCCAATGTGATCGGCCAATTTCAAAAGCGCTAAATCTAATCGACGAACATGGTTAGGCTTCGAAATATTCTGTACGATTACATAACATACAATGAGATTTCACCGCAAAACAATACAACGTTCGTTCACATGAGAGATCTTCGACGAATATATACATATATGTGGCTTATGCCATCCGTCAGGCCGTATTTTTTTCTGTATGTGAACCACTCATCGTGTCTCTTGTTGTGCTTCATTCAATTGATGTGCCAAATAAAGAATATATGTATATAAATTTGAACAATCCGAAATTGAGGAGAAAAAAAAACTCACTTGAAATGGTTTAACAAGCGTCATAGTCTTGAGACCGAGTGTAAGAAGACAGAACAAAGAGTGCGTAAGTGATAAAACTGATGTGGGCCTTCGTTTCAAACGTACAAACAACACTTGAAACTTAGTTTTTTTATAAACAAACGGCCACAAATCGTAGAACAGACGGCCGAATCAACGAGGCAATTCATCGTGATTCGGATGATTCCACTTATGTTTGCATATTTGGACCAATACGTGGGTCTTGTTTGTTCTGTTCATGCCGTCGCTATCTACTTCTCTTGCAACCAAATTCAGACTGTAAAAAAAAACAAATCCAGCCAAAAATTTAAACCAAGACGTACAACATCACATGTCATAAGGCAGTAATAAATCATTAACAATTTACAGTCGAGTTTACGGTCTAATTGTGTTTGAATGTAAACTGCTCGAAATCGCTATGACACAACACACATGTGAACAGACTGTGGTCAACATTTTTATTTTGTATGAACTTACTAAAATCACTTTGAACACCGATTTTAACATGTTACAATGCAATTACTGCTCTTTCTTCTTCTCCGCTTACATGCTCTTAAAGAGTGGAATTTTTATCGCAGTGATTCACCTGTGTGTGGTGAAAGCATGCGAAATTGTCAAACGAACATCCATCAACATGTTATTGAATTAACCGACGAAATTTAATGAGTCAATTCACCAAGTCTATTAATTCTCTTTTGATGGATTCTTTTATGATCTATACTAAATTTGTCACATATGCAAATTCATCGTTAAAATGAAATTAAACTACATCGTCTATACGTATTGAACGTAACCCGTGATCGGTGTTTTGCACTCCAAACAAAGGCTGAGGTTTTTTCAATTCTATTTTTCTGGGCATCAAGTTTAAGAAATGTTACGTGCGAAATGGTTGAAGTGCGACAAATATCTGGGAATGGGACACGTACACAATATTCATCATTTTAAGTAGAGATTCAATTTTTGAAATGTAAATTTATGCGATTTTCAAAACGGTAATGAACCATTTCTTATAGTAAATAAGTGAATGATTAGTCAAATAACAAATCACAAAACTTGTGACAAGAATTATTGGCCAAATTCTTGAATGGCATAGTTTTCTTCAATTGATTGAGACTGAAAACAAAGCGGAGAAACAGACGACATAAAGAAAGTCTATTGAAACACCGAAATCGTAAATGGTTAGGCAGCGAGACATCAATTGGCGTCAGTTAAACGAAGGGAGAAAAAAAAAGCTTTACGAGACACGCATATTTGATGTTTGACGGAAAAACAAAAGAATAGAAAGAGAAAATTTGTTTTGGAGACAATTTGTCATTTGTGCGTATTTTGTTAGATCGGGTCGTGCACCTTATTGATTTTGTATTAAAAATACATGATTTTAAGCGCTTCTATCCATTTTGGTTTAATATGGGTGAGTGCTGTGGCGTTCAAAACGAGACGATTTTATGGGTCGATGTGTGGAGTGTAGCTCACGTGCACATCACCCATAAATGTGGTGCCTATGGAATAAAGTGTATGTGTGCATAGTTCACCGCCATCAATGAGCTCATGAGCTCAACACTGCAGTGTTGTGTGTGCCGTGCGCGCACACATGGGGGGAAAATCATTTCGAATTTATGCAAATGGAAAACACAAAGGGAAGACCAAGTCGATAAATGGAACTCAATAAAAATAGGCACTTTTGAATGCATTGTGGCGAACTCTTAATCACAAACACAACACAGTTAACTGTATTGAACTAGTTCAGTTTGAATGAAGCGGACGAGGGTCGGTACAAACGCGGGCTGCCGCTTGATTTATACGATCATTGCAGACATTTCTCGTCCTAGTGCCATAATAATGTGTCTAATGTGTAAACCACAATACGTGCCACAAAATTCGATATTCGAACCAACCGTTGAAACTCTTAAATAGACCGACATTAGTTGTAACATTGGAATTTGTGTATTGTGTTTCAAACTCAAAACGGATGATTGAGACAATATTTTCATTTTGCTTGAAGTTCCGCAATGCGTATGCGACATTTTCTGTGCCCATACTTTGAAAAAAAAAAAAACTATATTTCGTTATTTATATTGACAAATCGAAAAGTGGCATTTCGTTGAGCGTTTAGTTTAGCATTTATTCGATATCGAGTCAATTCTTGTTATACCCAGATGGTTGCAGGGTGCCTGGGAAAATGTGGGAAATGGAAGGTAATTTGAGTAGCATTTCAAAGTGGAAGTATTCCAGCAAATGAATTATGCTATCGGCGAGGTGTTGTAATTAATGAAGAAAATTGGCCAGTGGTTTGGGAGTTAAACATTTGCCGTCAAGTCGTTTCTAACTTCTTCTTTTTTCTGAAGTTGGGCAATGAACTCAATCCTAAATCAAAGTTTCTTCCTTGGAATTTTTCTTTTGTTATCATCGATTCATTCATTATTCATTGCACGCGTTGCTATTAAAAGCGCTAATCCACTTTTTTTATTTCTGTCTTTTCTTTTCCACATAGAATGAAAAACGTAACCAAACTATGGACCGGAATTGTATTATTACAGTGTATTGTTGTTGCACTAGCAGCCGACCCAAAATTCGATCCGACAACACGTATGCGATTAGTTTTAGTGCCAGCTGATGCACAAGTTGGATCAGTCATTTACCGCCTGCGTGCATCCGATGAAGAATTTGATTATCCACTGACATTTGAACTTGTTGGTATGGAAAACTTGTTTGCAATAAATTCCGTTTTTTTTTCCTTCTGTAATTCTGATGAAAACATTTGCCAAGTGAATTTTTTCTTCGCAATCTCATTGAATTTGTCTTTTTTTTCCTTTTCTGTTCGATTTGAAACAAACCAACGACAACAAATAGATGGTGCGTCATCGTCAACGGTTCAAATAGAAAATTTAGAATGTACGAAATATAATTCGATATGCCAAGCGAATGTGGTGTTGATCCGGCGATTGGAACCAGGACGATACTATGATTTCAAGGTCTCTGTTAAAGATACCAAAGGTGGTATGACACAGCAAAGCTGTTCAATAACAGCTACTAATTATACGACCCCGCATGATCTAATATTCCCACATAAAGCTGGCATTATTATGGTGCCTGAGGTAAGGCTTATTGCCTGTATGGTTTTTATATAATTTTTTTTTTTATTTCGTTTCAAATTGAAGTGCAATAAAAAATAAAAATCGCACTCAAATGTTTATCACTTTTTCTGTGTTCTTTAGGATGCGAAACGCGGCACAATGCTCGACTATGTCATTGCGCGTAAGAATCCTCTCTACTCGAAAGATGTGATTTTAGAGCTACATGGATCACCATTGTTTGCAATTCGCCAAAAAATCGTATCGCCACAGACTACGGAAGGTACCATCATCTTGCTTGGACCGTTGGACTTTGAAATGAGATCCATGTATCATTTGACAATACTCGCAAATGTAAGTAATGGTTAAATGATACTATATGAAACGTTTACAAGTCACGTGAAAACACGATTTGTTCGATATCGAACTTCATGCAATGCTTTTCAATGGAATAAATTGTGATGTGAAAATTAAAAGCATTTTACAACGATCATACAAAACGGGCAATAAATATTTTTCCAATTCTTGCCAATCATCGAGAGATATTCTTCAATAAAACAATAAAATCGAAAAACAATATTATTATTTATGCTAGGATGCATATGCGGAGCCGGGACAAGATACTCGAAACATTGCCGGGCTCGAAGTAGTCGTTATCGTACAGGATGTACAAGATGTGCCACCAATTTTTACAACTGCTCCGCCAGTTACTAGGCTTCCAGCTTCTCTACTGCCAGGTGATAAGGTATGACAAAGCGCCGCAATTTTATTGAGTCTGGATTCGAGTAAAAGAGATCTTTTTTGTGGTGCAAAGCATTTGTGAGATATTCATTCGGAACTCATTTTTGCTTCGATTTTTTTTTTTTAAAGATTTTGCATGTTCATGCCGAAGATGGAGATAAAGGGAATCCGCGAGAGATAAGATATGGGCTGGTTTCGGAGGGCAATCCGTTCACATCATTCTTTAATATTAATGATACCACCGGTAAGTTTGAATTTTCATCTAACGGAACAATTCATAGCGTGACGTGAACTTTATGCTATGCCTTCAACTTTTCTACTCGGAATATATATATCGAAATAAAAACGAAATGATAGGTGATTTTGAAATGTGAGCACAATCTTTGGATTTAATCAAAAGTTCTTCAAACTGGGAACAGATATGAAAATAACTTCACTTGGTTTGAATATATTTCGGAGTTTATCGACTCAAAATACAATACTCAATTCAGTCAGTGAAATAGCAAAATGCTTTTTTCTAAATACAGGTAAAAACTTAGTTTTTTTTAGAAATGATGGAGATTATGTTATAAAAGTTACTTCTATATTAAAGCATGTGCCCGCCATTTTCGATGAACCATTTCGAATTCGATCATAAAACCGTTTGCAAAAGGCGAAACGTTAGTCTCGACTAAGCAAACTCTCAGTGGCAGTACAACGTGAAATGAGCAAGCGACAGATTTAAAGTATACTAAAGCAGGCATTTATTTATTTTCCGATCGGTACGGAGAAAAGTCCGTTGAAATCCGAACAAAGTAGAGAACCGAAAAAAGTAAAAGAGAGAGAGAGAGAGAGAGAGAGAGAGAGAGAGAGAGAGAGAGAGAAAATCCATAAAAATTGATGGTAATGAATATTTAAATATGAATGAGTTGATCACGGCCCCATGGTCGAATGCATGGATTCCGGCAGATATTTTGCGCATTATGCACAACAGTAAGCGCGCATAAATCTAATACGATGCAGGCAGTACGAGAGAGAGAGAAAAAAGGGCTTTCAATGTATGGGACGGAAGAAGATTGTGCAAGATTGTCGTTAGACTATGAGCGAGTGTGTATCTTGGTGGAATACACTTCGAATCGTGGATAGACAACAGTATCGTTGCACTTGGGTCCCAGTGTTGCGCATTGTTTTGCCTTGCATTCGTTACACAATTTTTTCTCTCTCTTCATTCTTTCTTTCTTTCGGCCGACCGACCGTCCGATCGAAGCTAAAGGAAACCAAATCTCGCTTCTATTCTGGGCTTTGCACACTGTGTGATTATTATTATTATAGGTCAAGCTCAAGTTGCTAACCTTTTTCAGTTTGAATGTTGTCACCAAGCATTTTTTTTATTTCATCCTCATTTTCTCTCTCTCTCTCTCTCATCGATTTTTTTCTCTTCGCTGCAATGCTTATGCATGTTCGCAAATATGTTGTGCGCTTGTCGCAAAGTTTAACAAACTCTCAAAACGACGAAGAATAGATCGCGATCATATACCATATACATGGGTACAAACACGGGCGCGCACGCGCATGCGCGCCTTCGCATAGGTGTGAGGTCACAGCAAACACAACGTGACTGGACAAAGAATAAACGAAGCGCAGTAAATCGCTATCAATCAGAGAAAAGATTAAAGACCATTGCAATAATTGGAGTTACTTTGTATATGAGTTTTTCCGCTCAACTTTTCGGTATAACATTTTCGCTCCAAACCACTCATATTGTATTACATTCTTCAAAAGATGTTTAGAAAACGTTCACCAAAGCCAAAACCCATTTTGAGGTAAAACCTTTGTTACTTTGTACGAGATGACGTTGATTGATATTACTAAATTTTACCTATTTCGTTAAAATGACCATTGAAATTTCGACTTTTTACGCAAAGCGAGACAAAAAAGAGTGGCATCCATAAGAGAATCGATTTTCGAGCAATTTTCAAAGCTCTCCCTTTAAACTCGATCGAAATGTATGCAGATTTTTGTTTGTTTTCGAATGAGCTTTGTTTCGATTGACAACGATATGGTAAAAATAAACACGATTTGATGCGGTGTCACGCCAAAGCTTACCGCTTCTCATAAATAAGTCAATTTGAAGCATTCCAGCAATTGTGAACAAATAGAAGTGGCCGTTAGTATTTCAATAGCGAATAAATCAAGTAAATAGTCTTCAAGAAGAAGACATGTTTAAGCATGTTGACCCAATTCTGATCGATTCGCACAAATGGAAATATTTTAAATATTCATGAAATGTCACGTATCGGGATAACGAACTCTCTACCTCATAGACTAACTGTTTGTGTGTGTATGTGTATGTGTATGTGTGTGTGTTTTCTTCATTTTCACATTTATTTTTTGGTCGGTGAATTGAATGTGCGTGATTTTTTCTCTTCTTTTATTTTCGGTCTTGCCATCTATGCGAAATGAAAGGAACGAACAGAAATTATTGGCTTTTCTCGTTTCCTCTTCAACAACGAAAATTTACAATTCAAATTTTCGTTTTCGTCGAACACGTAAAAGTAACAAAATCCATGTACACATTTCTTTTCTATTTTCGCGGGCTGTACCTGAACTAGATGAACCGAACCATGCAAGCAAAATCCATATCACGTTTCCAAATAACTGTTAAAACGGATTAACAACCACCCGAAAATAAAATAGTAGTAACAAACAAATATAGCGCTTTTGAATGCTATACACATATTTAAATGGTAAATGCGAATCGTATATATCATTGTGTAGCGAGACCCTTCGTAAAAAAATAGTTAAGTGTCAAATAACAAAAGAAAATTTACTAACGAGCAACACATAATTAATTCTGACCCAGTTGCATACTTGATCGTTACACAAAGATATTTTCTATCCAAATCACGACAGGGAATTATACAATGTGATATCACTTGGGTTTTATTTTTCTTCGTCCGAGAGGGAGAGAGAGAAAGAGAGAAGAATGAAGAAATAAAAAAAGAAGAAAATAAAACAAATGAACAAGGAGCCAAATGGAATGGCGCTTTCATGGCAAATTTGAATTTCAGTTCACTTTTCCATCATTATAATTTTTCCTTTTCGAAGTGGTTTTTTAATTAAAATAGATTCGCTTTTCGGTAGTGCTCCCTATGTAATGAATTTTTTTTTAAACTACAGGAATTTATGTGTTTGTTGATTATGTTGCAGGTGAAATATTTTTGCTGAAGCCCATCGACGAAATATCAGCCATTACGCATGTTGGTGACCCAGTGCTGTTGACAGTTATTGCCGAAGAAGTGAAAACTTCGCGTGATGAACCGCCGGCCATGGCAACAACCGTTCAATTGGCGCTTTTTCTGCCCGAACGTGTTAATTCACCACCTTATTTTGAAAATGACCAGTAAGTTGGAATTGAACACACGAAAACGATGATGGGAGAATTTTTTTTTTGATACGAATAAGCGAATATTTTGTGGTTGTGTGTATTTTGCAGCTATGTGGCGAGAATCGATGAAAACGCACTGCAAGGGACGGCTTTAATATTCAACGATCCGTATATTCCGCGCGTTTATGATGACGATACCGGTAAAAATGGTGTGTTTTCATTAACACTGCTTGGGAATAATGGTACCTTTGAAATATCGCCAAATGTTGCCGAACGCCGTGCCAATTTTCTTATTTATGTTCGTGATAATCATCTTCTTGATTATGAAACAAGACATTCCGTTCGGTTTCAAGTATGTGACGCACACACGTGACTCATCAACAATTGAATCAGATCAGTAAGATATTGAAATGTTTTTTTTTCAGATTCTCGCCCAAGAGCTCGGTCCAGCCACCAATCTATCAAGTTTGGTGAATGTCATCACTTATATCAATGATTTGAATGATAATCAACCGGTATTCGAGAGAGACATGTACATCGCTGAAATACCAGAGAATATCACAGCCGGTCGCAGAGTTATAGAGGTGCGTTGAATATTTATTATCCGTTTTCATGAAAATGTCATATTAAATTTCCCATTTTCCATCCAAAATATAATTTTATTTTATTGAAAACAATCACTTTGTTCCTCCGTCTTAGGTGCATGCGACTGATATTGATACAGGTGCGGGTGGTCGAATTCGATACACACAAATCTTGGGCTACCTAAATACATCGCTAAATCTCAATTCCGACAACGGTATGATCATTATATCGACCGATAATCATGGATTCGATCGCGAAATGATGCCTGAATACCATTTGTATGTGGAGGCTCGTGACAATGACGGAACCGGGAACAGTGCTCAAGTTCCGTTGGTGCTAAAAATCATCGATGTCAATGATAATGCACCGATTTTCGAAAAGCCAATTTATGAATTCATTCTCTCATCGAATTTGCGAAATTTCACAATACCGGCATTTGTGAAGGCCATCGATGCTGATGCCGAAGAGCCAAACAATGTTGTACGATATGAAATCATAAGCGGAAATTACGATAATAAATTTCGATTGGACAAATATACAGGTACGGGTTGGAAAGTAAACACATTACAAAGCATGAACATGTCAAATAAAAACGAAAACCCCTCATGAATCGAGCCGAATTGAATCATTTCCGTTTATGTTCTGTTTTTTTTTTTTTGGTTTTTCGTTGGTATTTGCATTTGGTTGAATTTAGGTCAGTTAATGCTGATATCGGCGCTAGTTGATCGACCAAAGTCACCAGCGAATCGTCTATCACGCGATGCAGATGTTTACACGCTGACTATACGCGCATACGATTTGGGTGTGCCAGTTATGTTCTCAACGATAAATGTTCGCATTTATCCACCCGAAAGTAAAACGCGAAGCGTTACATTTGTTTTGCCCGGTCACAATATAGACCGCAAAAAGACTGAAGATATTTTATCAACAATTACCGGCGGCCGGGTGATTATCCATGATATCCAACCGTACAATGAGGATCATTCGAACGAAGGCGGTGCTGACGATTCCGATGGCAGCAATATCAAAATTATCGATGGCGCAAATAATAAAAAAGATCTGTACGTACCATGTTTTCATAGTGTTTGAAATTTATGCAATTGGATGACACTTCAGTTGATTAATTGGATCACTTTTGTTTTATGAATATTTTTCGTCTCGATTCTTGTAGGAGTGTAGTTACCGCAACCGTTTTGTATGACAGCAATTCAATTGTGGACATTTCGCAAATACAAAAAAGGTTGTCACTGAATAATTCCACGTCTGGCATTTCTATTCGGGATAATACCGATGCTGAGGTAAAGTTTTGATTTTGCCGGAATTTTCTTTTCATTCCATTAATTCGTTGTTTCTTCTTTTAGAATGTTTATAAGGCTGAAAATCGAGTGCTATTTTGGTTACTCGTTTGCTTCGCCATTTTGATAGCTCTAGCCATTTTAACATTATTGTTATGTTGTGCATGCCCATGGTGTCCGTTGTACAATGCAACTAGGTAAGTTGATGTCTGGAATCTTATTGGTTTTATCTACTGTTTTTCTATCCTTTGAATCCACAATTTGGTAGAATCTTAACGCATGCCGACACTCGTCTATTTGATGACAAATTAAAATCGTTATTCAAAAATAAAATGCACATAAATTTTTTTTTACTAAACGATCTAATCGCACCCAGTAGTTTTACTGTCAACCTGTTTGCCGTTTCACTGTTTCCCTCTCAATTCAATTCAATCAATAACTTTGACTAATTCAATAAACTAGAATGATGCACAATTAGTAGCACAAATGAGAAATATATATGGACCAGTGAGAATAAGAGCCTGAGCAAAGTGTATAGAAACAAGAACTGAAAACGTCGTACGCAAAAGAACTTGATGTTGTTGTTGCAATCATGGCGAAAAGAATCGAAACGCAACGTCTCTTTTACGTGTACAACGGATTAGAGTACCGATTTCACTTACACATCGCTAAGGACTTTTATGCCTGTTAGTTCATGTATACTTATTCACAAGATCACAAAAAATTAAATTGTCCACTGCACCGTAAATTGATTGGGATTGAACAAAAAATAGTCTTATCTATCAAAGTGGATTTTACTGATTTCTAACGAAATTCTTTTAAAATATTGTGTGCGTGTGTGTGTGCGTGTGTGTGTGTGTCTTTCTCTCGATTTATTGAAAATTGTTTTCTTTTATTTTACTTGTAGAAAAAATGTGATTAGGGACCGTAGTACTGAAGACGATGTTCATCTAGTTCATAGAGAGTTGGACGTAGGCAAACAGACAAATAAATCTGTTCAGGTAGAACATATCACATTGGTTACAGTTAGACTAATTTTTTTTTTATTTTCGAAATCAAAAACTCAGATTTGCATTCTCATTTGAAACCAAAAAAAAAATACAGTTCCAATCGAATCATTTTGACTTAAACAATCGTAGGACAAACACAAAGTCCATCTCATTCTGTTAGATTTTAGATTGCTGCTGTTGTATATAAAAGTAAATGAAAACTAACAGAATTGAAAGAGCAACAACGGAAAAATTGACGATTTCATCGAATGCAAACCTTATATTTAACTGATTTAGGTTTAAATTGCTAATTTTTATCATTTCCTTTCGATCTCATTTGATTGAAGATTTACTAATAATACTCAAGCTATCTTCATTAAATTGAAACTTATTAAGAGGACTTTTTTCTATTGCTGTATCATAATTTGAAGATTATAAGGTATTGTGTTTATGTAAAACGTTAACTGAAATGAAATTTGCGATATTCAGGTGGCGGAATGGATGGGCAGACGAGAAGCATGGTCAGCAGAGAAATCATCGGACTCACGGACAAAACCAACACACTGGGAATTTCGTCGGCGAGACGAACATCGCGAAGACATAGAAGGCGACAGCCAACACGAAACTAGTACAAAACGTGTACGCTCAGCCGAAGATAAACGAACGGTGAAAATTAAGTAAGCAATTCAGTTGCCAATTTTGCGATTGGGTCACATTCGATGTTCAAATTGGAATATTAACCAATGTGTTTTTCCTATTTTTTAATTGCTAGAAATAATTTCAAAGACGTGAGAGCAGCCAAAGAAACACAATTCCATAGTTCCCGTACCAATCTGATAAGCGAACGTGAAGTATATGCCGATGACACTGATTTAGAATTCGAACAAAGAAAAAAGCATATCGACGATTTGGATTCGATGCGTCGTCATGAAATCGATCGCGGAAGTGATGTTGGCTACGAGCCAAGATCAAGCCTCAAGCGACACGACGATGAGGCAACGCTTAATCGGGATCAGTATTTTATAAAGGAGGGTAATGCAGAAATTCTTCGATTGATAACACGTGGCAAAAATGACGACGAAAATATCTATGTGAACATTCCGCCGCAGCAGCCGCAATACATAATGGTTGAAAATGGTGGCAAAGAAATTCTCATGAGACGTTTCATTGACGAACAAGTTAATGGCAAACACATTATTCGCGAACATTACCAAATCGTGCCCACACTTCAGACACAGAAAATTGGCGACGAAATGCAAACGGCTCCACATGTTTCGGAGATTTATGTGAACAAATCACAGGCAGGCAGCATGATTTACTCGCAGCCCGATCAACAACCAGAACAGAAAATTATTCACACCAATTCCGCTCAGACGGCACCAAATTTAAGCGTTCCTGAGGTGCAGTTACAGCATGCGTACTCCAGTCAATCGTTGATCCAACAAGAATTGGAGAATTCACTAAAGCAACAGAATGCACTGTTGCGCCAAATTTTATTGGAAAAAGAGAAATTGCAAGAGAAATACAGTCAACAGGAGATTGCGCTGGAAACACAAAGCCTCCCTGGCCATTCGACGGCCATTGCAACGCAGACGGATTGCGATGCGGGCACACAAACCGACATGGTTTCAATGAAGCCGACTCGGCGAAGGGCTCGTAGCGAAAATGATGATTCAATGTCAGAAGATGAATTCGAATACATTCGATACAGTCCACCAAACAGCCCCGAAGGTGTCTATTGGATAAAAAGAAAGAAACATAAAAAGAAAACGAGATACAGAATGTCGGATAAGCCGCGGAAGCGTGTAGTCATGGTTGAACAGATTAAGCGAAAAATCCGCACTCCGATCAAGGAAGAGAGTGAAGAATTCGTTGGCCATTCACCGCAACGAACATATTTTGAAACGAAGACCAGCATTTTGCGACGATTAAAAAACGAAAAATCACCACATAAACACGGCCACAAACACAAAAGCAGTCAATCGGCCGGGCTAAAAAAGGATGTTCTGATGGAAATATCGGATTCGTTCGATGAATATCAGCCAGAATACAATACGAATAGCTCGGAGAGAAGAAGAAATTTCCAAAAGGGACACTCCAAAAAAGTGGAATACTATGAAGATAGTGACGAGGCAAACTTGGAATCTGACAGTGAAATAGTCATTCGTCGAAACCACTATTCGGCTGATAGTCTTGAAGATCATTCGGATATGGAAGAGATGGCGCGCCAAGAGAAGCAACGAAACTATCGTAATATATTATTTTCGCGACAAGGCTCTTCAACGGAAGCCAAAGAAGCGGCCGGATATTATGAATCGGATGGCAGACGATACGTACACAGTGTCACATCGACTCCAGCATCGAAACGAATTTCGCGCAAAGAGACCGAGCCCAGTCAAGAACGAGAAACACGTCGCCAAACAACATCTGAACCACCTAATCGATCGAAACCACAGAAGGCTCCAAAACAACCGCCGGAACATCGTCACGCAAAACGTGTAGTTGCACAAAGCGAAGCCGATTTAATCAATTGCATGCGAGACGATGGATTTGAGGTGTCAAAACATGTGTCAGCACCACGATACATGGAATGGTATTACAATAAATCGAAGGAGAGCGATTTGGAAAAGAAGCGCTTAGATGATTATCGAAATGAAAAGGAGAAGAGTAAAGTTGGTAACAAAAAAATGGTCGGCGGCATTGAAAAACGCATCAAATCGAAAGCGGCACGCTCTAGTGAACCAGTTACAAAACCAGATCCAATGCCAAGAACAGCACCACCGCCAAAAGGAGCACGAATGCTAAAAGAAGATGTAAAAAAGAATAAATCATTTGCGCAAAAGGCTCAAACCGATACCAACCACCCGTTGCTGCAATACTCAGAGCATCGATATGAGCACGAGTACAGCGGTGCCAGCGATATCCCTGTGCCACCTACTAAACTTCCACATTATATGTACCCCGAAACGCCACCACTACCCAGCATCGAAAGTAGTCGAAAGAGTAAAAACCAGGACAAGGCCAAACCGAAACCGTCACCAATACACGAGCATGAAGTGAAAGAGCATTCATCACGACACTCATCCCAAAGTGAAATCAATTCCAATCAAAATGCCTCAAAACAATTGAACGCATCCACGCTGGAAGATGATCACGATTCTGGCATTGCAATGAATTCGTTACTGCACAGTTTGGGCAAACGAAATCCAATCGCTGACAAAAAAAGTGTATTCACCATTGCCTACGACGAAGCGAAAATCAGCAAAATACAATCCGAAAGTGATTCGCCACAAGTTTCATGAATATTTTCATAATTTCGCTGCTCAATCAATATGAAATACCGATGTCTGATTAAATTATTATTTATCTCAGCGCCTGTGCAGAAATGCTACTTTTTGTTAAATGAATATCACATTTGACGAGTTTAGATAAAACAATGACGATTTTCTGATGATATTATACGCTAAGCGTTCCCAAATTAAATTTAACTCATGTAAATAAATTATTGGAAATGTCCTACAACTGCCATACATTTAACCATTTTTCTAGGTAAATTAGATATTACCTGTAAACAAAATTTTAGCGCATACAATGTATTAACAATGTTGGCTCTAAGATTTTCATTTTCATTTAAATTTGAAATTAGCATTTTATTTTAGGAATCCAGGTTAAATACAATCAGTTCTTCATTTGGCAAATTTCGCATGAGAAAGAGGCCTTGCATCATTCGTCTTGAGAAACGGATATCAAGATGTTGAATTAGAAAATATACAACTAAATTGTAAATAAATTAGTATGATGCAGTTATGATTTGAGTTAAGCCAAGAAATTGGGAAATAAACACATTCTTCGTTAATAAAAAAAGAGTTTGATTTTTCACTAGGGGTTTCACGCAACTTAAAATTCATCTAAAATTTCAATATTTTTCTCTTTTCTCTAAAATTCTCTGGGATTCACCAAAATCCGTATTATTTCGAAATATTTCAACATTCACCTTGAAAATTTTGTTCTGGAAGTGGGTTTTGGTGGATCTTCAGGATGGATCAGACTGGGTTTGACAATGCCCTGGTCCATCCTGAGGATCCACTTCCAGAACCAGGAGCGGTTTTGAACAATCCTGAGGATCCACCAAAACCCACTTCCAGAATTTTTAGATTCAAAAAATTCTAAAAAATTCGAGTTTATGAATAAAAAGAAGCAATATCAATAGTTTACACATAAAATGGTTTTATTTCCAGCTATTTAGTAAAATCTTCGGCCTTCGAGTTTGCGTGAAACCCCTAGATTTTTCATTCATAGCTGTAAATGTAATAAAATTATTGATTATGCGAGACTATAGGTGTTTTCCAACTTTTCTCTTTCAGTCATTTCCTCGATGCTTCAATGCAAAATATCGAACCGGTTTTTTTACAGTCAACAAGTCCTGTAGTTGTACAGCGGGCCAATAGAATCAATATTGCTAATAATTGTATCACCAATCCGCCACAATATCAACTTGCCTTGGTCAATCATACATATGACTTGCAATTGCATTCGAATTGCCATAAAGATTTCTTCGTAAGACTTCGTAGAAAAAATTTCATGAGCCATTTCTAAGTTATGATGTCAATTCCACCATGATCAACTTGCATGCCATTCCAAACTCCCCAATGACATTCAAATGTATGTGGGCAAATTGAGTTTTCATGAAAAATGTCACCTAGAACGTAACAAATGGAGAAATTGGCCTACCCCCGCGTAACCATTATTACAGTGTAATAATTTCAACACCCAATTACATTTTTATTCTACGTTTTTGCAAACATGAAGTTTAAAAAGGCTAAATAACACTTTCGTATTAATAAAAATCCAAGAGATAAATCAAACATTGATTCCTCAGCAATAATTAATAGGGGCCGATCCAGTTGGAGCGGCAACTCTACAAATTCACCATGGAGCGGCAACACTCCGAATTCACCGTAGAGCGGCTAATATTGTTTTTCAAAAGAAAAACTATAATAAACGAATTTGAATTGTCCGAAATTAATTTAATCAATGAAAGTAAGAATATTACTTTTTTACACATTTTCATTAGTTGAATTTTTTTGTTTTGATATATAATACTAGCCGCTCCATGGTGAATTTGTAGAGTTGCCGCTCCAACTGGATCGGCCGCTATTAATTATTGCTGAGGAATCAATGTTTGATTTATCTCTTTGATGTTTTTAATACGAACGTATTATTTGGCCTTTTTCACTTCATCTTTGAAAAAACATCAAATAAAAATGTAATTGGGTGTTAAAATTATTGCACTGTAATATTGGTCATTAATGTAACCAATATTGGTTACACTGCAACATTTTTGAGTGTAAAGACTAATATTGAGTTGGGGCAATATAGAGGTTACAACTATTTTAAGATGAATTTACACCGAAATTTGGGTAAAATGAGTTATTTTCTATTCGTATGTCCAAACGGCTACTGTTCATATACGCGCTAATACCCATGTGAACCATTTGCGGAGAAATTCAGTGCACAGTGGAGCTGTGCGGAGTTCTGCGGAGATGCCATACATACATTATAGACTGCTCCAAAAAAAAAAATTGTCCCTCATCCAAAAGGCCCGGGCAGTTTCGAAAAATATACCTCAAAAAATAGGTTTTGTCCAAAAAAATCATATGGGTACCATATAAAAACCCATGGCAAGCCCCATATCAAAATTTTCATGACAGCGATTTCGGAAGGGCAGCCACTATATACAGTGAGTTTTCCTGCACATAAAATGTCACACTATATACAGTGAACTTTTGTTACGTTAACTGTATATAGTGTCTCATTTTATATACAGTGAATATTCAAAGTTCACTGTATATAGTGTGACATTTTATATGCAGTGAGAATTTTTTAACCCCATAGAAAGGCTCGGCGCGCGCGAGTGAAAGGAGAAAGATTTCTCGTTTTTTGAAAGATGGGATCCTTGAATTAACAAAGATTCGAAAGAACTTATATTTGATTTTTCACCGAAGTTCGGTGACCGAACTAACTGCAAATAAAAGTCGAGATAATTTAATATTTTCTGAGTTTATTGAGAACTTATTTGATTCGGTGTCAGTTTTAAGACTGAATTTGTTTCTTCAGTTCCGGTTCTATTTATACTGAAGATTTGACAGCAAATTCATTTCAAACCTACTAGATCTATATTCTTAATCTAATGACAACCTTCTGATTATCTCAGTAGTCGCCTCACAATATTGGAATCATGAATGGAATACGTAGTACCCGTTTACTCTTCCTTCACTTAATCGAAATCGTCCTCGATTTTCTTCTGGTGTCTTCATTTTTGGTTTACTGATGAATTTGGTTTTGCTTACTTCCTTCTTTCAGCTTTTTGTCTTAGCGATGCCACTTCGGTAGCTATAAATAAATTATATCAGATAATTTTTCATTTAATTCTTTTAGAATTTCGCTTTGAGATTTGGTCGCATCAAGCATTATGATTTTTTTAATTCCTTCTGGGGGTGTTTTCATGAATGCCTCCTCATACAGTTGGTTTAGGAGAGTCAAATAATTTTTGTTAATATTACTTTCCTCTTCCCGGTTTCTGATTTTTATACGAGAAATCAGCGTTTTGATGTCGGCTCTCAGATAAATGGCGATATCGCACACAGGATTGCATTGATCGATAATGAAATCATACCATTGGTTTAAGATTTCGTTATCGATTTCATTGATTTTGTTTTTTACAGCGTGAGCTTTAATGAAACAGAGTCGGGTTGAGAATATTGTACGTTCCATTATTTTTACTCCAATGCCGGGTTTTGAGATGGTTCTCTCCCATTGTCAGTAAAGCAAGTGATTGGAAGCTGAAAGCCCAGATGGAAGGTTTACGGTAGGTGAGATGAAGAAGATTTGAGCCCTTTATTTTAGTCCATTTTTCCATTGGCTCGTTGATAGTTAACATTGAGGCAGGCCCCAGTTTCTTGAGAGTTTCGAGAAGAGTGCTTTTTCCAACGCCTATATTGCCCTCAATGGCAATAGTCATTGGTTGAATTTTGTTTAGGATTTTGACGATGTTTGGGACGGAAAAAGAGCAAATTCCAATTTTTTTCTCTTTGGAAGTGTTCTCATTTTTGGATATTTGGAATGATTCAAGTGATTTCCTCTCTGTATTTTTTGAAGGTTCAATACGTTTAAGAGGGATTTTGATCATTATTTTTGTTGATGGTAATTTAGAGATCTGTTTTGAGAGCGGAGCGTTTTCGGCTTTAGGGGATGGTATTGGGCTCACGAGTTCATAGTTTGTTAAATTCAACATTTTCTTTTCAACGCTATCTTCATCTGAAGACTCGTCGCTGCTTAACTCACCGAATAGTTCTGCGATTTTTTCCAATTTTGCGATTTTTCTTTGCTGAGTTTCAATGTTGGAAGCAGATGGGAGATTATCAATTCTTGGGTGGGTTTTGACTGATGAAATAGGCCGAGCGATACAAGTTTTCAGCATTTCTTCATTTTTGTAATTGTTGGTAAAGATTGGACGTCTTTTTTTGTAAAAACTTGGTGGTGGGCAGTACAAAGACATTAGTGATGGGATTTTGTCGAGTGGTTTTATAGCTGTTGCGGGAAAGGTCTTTTTTTCACAGAAGGTTTCACCATTTTTGAATTCGATTTTCTTTTTTTCACAGAATATTTCATCATTTCTGGATTCCATTTTCTTTTCTTCACAGTGATGAGTTTCATTTTCTTGGCCGACTACAATTCCACTTTTTAATTTTTTTATTACACTTTTTTCGCGCACTTCACCTTCTTCTTTTTCTTCTGGTTCCTGATTTTTATATGTCGTGAATTTTTCTCTTGACATGTTCACTTTTTCTTTGGTTTTGGGTTTTCTTTTGTTTTTTTTTTCTTTACGGTGAAATTATTCAATGTTTTTTGTTTAGGGTTTATTTTGGATTTGAAAGATTGATTTATAGTTTATCTATGGTTGCTTTTTTAGTTACAGACAGGTTTGATTTATTCGTTTGGTATTTTATTTAGCTTCGGGTGCTTTTTGTTAATTTTAGAAAACGGTTTAATGTTTTGGAACCATTTAATTTTAGCGAACAATTTAATGTTTTTGAGAACAATTTAATGTCTCGGTTGGGTACAGGTTGGCTCTTTGTTTTTTTTTTAGAAGATCGTTTAATGTTTTTTGGGACAATTTAATGTCTGGTGAACAATTTAATGTTTTGGTTGGGTAGCAACAGAGTGCCGGACTCGCCAGTGAAAGGAGAAAGATTTCTCGTTTTTTGAAAGATGGGATCCTTGAATTAACAAAGATTCGAAAGAACTTATATTTGATTTTTCACCGAAGTTCGGTGACCGAACTAACTGCAAATAAAAGTCGAGATAATTTAATATTTTCTGAGTTTATTGAGAACTTATTTGATTCGGTGTCAGTTTTAAGACTGAATTTGTTTCTTCAGTTCCGGTTCTATTTATACTGAAGATTTGACAGCAAATTCATTTCAAACCTACTAGATCTATATTCTTAATCTAATGACAACCTTCTGATTATCTCAGTAGTCGCCTCGCAATATTGGAATCATGAATGGAATACGTAGTACCCGTTTACTCGCGTGAGTGAATGAGCCTTAGAAATGAAGAGACAGTAAACAATGAAAGGGATAAATGGTTTCTACGATTAGTTTTAGAATAAAAATAATTGCTTCAAATAATCAATTTAGCCATGAAATAACTGTCTAAGAGAAATAAGGTATAAAAGGCGATTGAGCTTCTATAAAAGTTCAGTCTTTTGTGAACTGAGAAACAACGA